ATTTAGCATTTACAGAATAAACAATTAACAGACCAACTTGGGTTGAAACAAGAGATCTTATGAAATCTAACGATGTTAATGGGGTCATAAGAGCAATGAATAGTACCGTTATACCTGAATATCAAACATTTCTACAAGATATCTATAATGCTTTGATGAACGGAGACAAAGGTTTTCGTTTTAGAGTACCCTTATTTTTGTTATGTGAATTTTTTCAAATTAAAAGTTATTATGGAAAAGGTAAAGAATTAAAAATTGAATTTACTGTTGAACAAGATACTAATCAACTTTTAGAGTATATAAGACTTATAACTGATGTACAAATGGAATCTTTAGCTAATGTTGGATTAGAAATTAGAAATCCTGCAATTTGGGTCAATACTTACCGAATCAAAGCCAGTTTACCTTTAGAAAAATCTTTATATTAAAACAGTTACCCAGATCAACCTTATACTATAGCACGTTTTGCTCATTACGAACAAGTTATAACTAACGTAGAAGGTACAGATACCGTTACCATAAATTTAGGAAATATAAAAACAGCTGACATGGTACCTCATTGTGTTTTGTTTTCTGTTCAATCAAAAAAAGAAAGCGATCATTTTACTAAAACCTCTATGACACCTGTTGAAATGGCTTGCACTATGATTAAAAAAATTACTTTTCATAATTTTAGAAGAACTTTTGTCAATTCTTCAGGTGACACTTATGTAATTGATTTAGAAAACAAAGTAGAAGATCAACAATTATGTTATCGTAGTTATGTTTCTTGGTGTAAAGGAAATACACCTTCTACTCCTAATATTAATAATTTTGCAGATTTTTATACAAGTGACGGTGACAGTTTTATTAGAAATCCTAATGATTATTTCAGTCAAACGCGTAACATAACAGAACCTTTAGCTATTGACACTACTAGCGATTATAATTATGTTAACGACAAACCTCCAGCTACCATCCAAGGAAACAATTCCTTACAAATTACCGTTGATTTTGTTACCAGTTTCAAAGGTCTCATAACTCTGTACCTTCAACATGCAGCACAACTGATTCAAACTGGAACAGGAGAAGACGAAAATTACACATATTATCCTTTTAAATTTAAATCATCATAACACCTTTTACAACATTTTTAATTTAGTTAAATTAACCATGTTTTAATTGTATTTTTTTATGCACGCACGACTATTTAATTTAAAAAAGTATAAAAAAAAAACATTTATACTTGTTCTTTCTCAAAACTAATTGTATGGCGCAAAGACGGTATCGTAAAAGAAGAGGTCGCAAACATCGAGGTAAAGGAAAAATTATAACTAGAGTTAAAAATCTTGCCAGACGTTTACTTAGATCAGACGTGGGAGGTTTAGCGTTAGATTATTTGCAAAAACAACGTAATGCGTAGATTGTGTAGAAAAAGAATTCATAAAAGACGACGAAAAGGAAGAGTTTATTTACCTCCTTTAAAAGGAGCCGGTAGAAGGAAACGAATACGCGGTAAATTTCTTCCGATATTAGGCGATTTAATGGGTGGTAGTTTACTATCTTCTATAATACGTTAAAAAAACACTTGTACAAAAAAAAATTATTTTTAAAATGCGTAAAAGACTAAGAGGAAAAAAACATAAAAGACGTTTAAAAAGACGTTACAAAAAACGAATGCGTGGAAAATTTTTAGGAGCAATAGGTGCAATTGCTTCAAGACTTTTACCAAGACTTTACCTATAGTAGGAAGAGCCGCTTTGGGTGGTGCATTTTCGGGATATCTTATGGAATCAATCAAATTGGAAAATAAAAAAAAAAAAAACATTTCTTTGTATTATTTTAATTTATTAAATATTGTATTACAACCGTATACATGTTCGTGTTTTAAGTTAAATTTTTCGTAACCCTTATAATAATTAATAAAATTTTCCATCATTTCTTTAATTGATTTATATTTTCTACTTCTCTACAAATCTTCTCCAATTCGTAAAGGTGCATACTCATTTATTTTGATTATAAGCGCACAAACAATATAAAAAATAATTCCAAAAGTAAGAAATAATACTATTAATAATAACTGCAACGGAAACACCAAAACGTAAAACATTAATTTTGCAATATTTACAGATTATAAATAATTATATGTTTTTAATACACCAGATTTAACAACATTTACAACAGGTTGAAAAAACTCGCATATTTGTATACCACTTTTTTTCATAAAATTTAAAACTTCCATTTAAAAATGTAAAAAAGAACTTTCTATGAACGATAGTTATGATTACCGTTTCTATTGCCTGTATATATATTTGGTTTTACTTCTTCTGGCTTGTACGGTTTTACAACTACAACTGGTATCGGTTTATCGAACTGTTGTAATGATTTGTTCTTTGATTCCATCTGATTTAAATAACAAAAAAAAATGGTATTCTTATATATATTTTTTTTTGTTACGCTAGATTAACTTTAAACAATAAAAAAAATCTTATATTTTTAAAAATGATTATGACAAAAATTATGACGCAGTCGGGGTGGGAGTCATAACTTGATATTAAAGAATGGTATATATATTTTTTTTTGTTACTTTTTTTTTATTTTTAGATACTAAGCGGTGGAAGTATATCCGCAGATTTAGTATACAGATTAAATCCTCAACAATTAAAATAACTGTGATTGTGCAGGAATACAGTTATGTTGTTGCATATTGGATTTGTAGAAGATGATAAAATATAATGTCCACAAGGTTTAAAAGATGGCAAATAGTCTATAAATGATCAGGAGAGTAAGGGCTTTTCGTACATGGCTAGTTTTGTATAACCCAAGATCATTTGCTGTGAATAGCTCCTGCACTTGATATTGTTACTTAATTTAAAAAACTGACGTATGTACTAAAAAATACTAAAAAGATTTTAAATATGTCTATGATTATATATATGCGATTTTAATATAATATAGTATGATAGGTTTAGAAATATATTATAAATATTTACAGAGGCGTATCATTAAATAAGTTTGCATTTTATATTTTCATTTTATATTTTCATTGCTAAAAAGCTATTTAAATATTTTATAAATAATCGAGTTTTAATATATATTTATTGATTATATTCACAGATGAAAATTTTCCGGGAATTCTATTACTAAAAGTATTAATTTCTGAACCATTTTCTCAGATTTTATATATAAAAAGTAAATAAATTATTACTCTTTGAAAACTGTTTACGGTAAAACTGAGACATTGTATTTGATTTTAAAGAATTTTGAAGAAAAATAATTATTCAGTAGTTTTTAGTTAATTTACCCATCCCTTTAACATCATTCCAGAGTATATCCACATACCTTCGTCAACTAGTTGACCATATAATTTTTCGGTATTTTCATAGAAAAAAAATTTCCGGGATTTTCATCAAGTCATCAACTCATCTATGTTATATTATTGCTTTTCTTTGTCTGTCATGTTCTTAAAACTGCTTGAAATAAGAGTTTTTTTGTTTGAGTAGATTCTAAAAGGAAAGTATCGCTGTAACTTGTTTTGAGCGAAGCGAAATAAAAGCACTTCAAAAACTTGCATGCTTAAGACTAAAATTAAAAATCTTAAATTTGGAAGAAAGACCTCTAAATATTAAAAAAAAGCTCCTAAATTTGTTCTCCCTCCGACCTCGTAGGGGGCATTAGTGGGCTAGCGACGGCTTCGGTTGGATCATTTATTTAAAGCATCTAAATAACTCTATTTATTAATGGAAAATTGATTTTTAAATGGAAATACATTTAAATGTTTCTTTTATGTATCATTGTATTAGCAAAACTGTTCGATTTTTTTTCAATTTATCCGTGTTGTTTCATGTATGCAACAAGATCACGCGAATTTTTCTTTACTATTATGTTAGCACCATGTTATATTAACATTTTTACATTTTTACAAAACCTCCGGTTTAACGGGTAACGGGTCGTTTTGTAAGAACACTATTTGATTATTTTTCAAGTTTAAACCTTTATATTTGGATAGGCTTCAGGTGTCACATAACTTTCTGTGCATTTTCAGACTAAATCCCTATGATACTACATCCTGCAAAAAATGTATGTGCAACTCTCCGCGTTAAGAAATAAACATCATTAAAAATTAACAAAACTTTATATTTTTGTACTTTTAAACTGATAATAAGTCAATCGCTCAGTTTTAAGCAATTTTTTATTTTTTAAACTAAGTTTTTTGGGTTACGTGTGATATTAGCTATAACAGTTATGTGAAACTTCTTCCCTAAACTTTTTCCCTAGTTATGTGAAACTTCTTCCCAAAAAATGAGTTCAAATATGGCAAAAGCTAAATTTCTAGAACAAATTTCAAAAAATTTCAAAATTTTAAAGGCGGATTCTGAGTGTAGGAAACGTTTTTACAATTATTTTTGTCCTAAACGTTTTTCTCTATATTCTGAACAATATAAAAAAAATTTAAGCAATTTGGAGGGGAATACTTCCACTTTTTCCCGAATTTGCCTGATTCTTACAAAAAACGGCTTTTATAGTCACGGTAATGAAGTCCGATTAGTTGATTTTCAAGTCACGTCAGCAATTGTGACAAGTTGATTTTTAAATTCGCAGAACAGTTGTTTCTAAATTTTTTTTCAACAATTCTCTTATCATTGCTTTTAATTTATTTTTTAAATTAAATGTCACGACAACGTTGCACTACTTTTATAGCTTTATGCTTTTATGCTTTTAAGCACGGCGATCTATAAGTAACAGGCCGTGACACGCAAAACTTAAAAAAAATGTGGGGGCCGATATTTCAAAAATCAATATGATAATTTTTTAAAAACAAAATATGTTGCTCCCGTTATATAAAGCATTAAACTATGTAAAAATTTGTACAATTTAGAAATCTTTTTAATTTTTAAACAATAAACTTTATTTAATTGTTTCAATTCATAAAATTGCTTAAATAATGAAATAAAAAAGTTTTATATCAGGTAAAAAACAAAAGTTAAATTAAGTACTGTTAGGGGGTAACTACACCTTTAAATAGGAATATATTTTAGTGATTTAAATAAATAAGAAATACTTTTAAAATCATAAAACAGAAACTTTAAATCAATTAATAAATTTCAATAAAGAAATAACAGCATGTGTCAATAAATAACTGTCAACTTAACAAGACAACTTTAAAATTTTTAGAGACGGTTCTTTGTTCGATCTTGGTGTGGAAAGTTTGCAGTGGTTTTTGATAAAAATATTTGACAGTATATTACCATGATGTCGTTCCATGTCAAAAGAATAATGATCCGATATAAGCATAAAAATGTTGCACAGGGATGTCCGACAAACTTTATCTTTAATAGAGTTAAATAGTACAAATGAGAAGAAAACCCATTGAACAGTATTATCAAAAGGAACTTTTAACCCACCTCTATCGACTGATTTTAGATATTGACCAAACTTTTCAAAATAAAACATTGTTCTGGTTGAAAGTTCATTTTCATTAAGCAAATCATCTTTACAAGACACATATCCGGCAATATAAACAAGAGACATCTTTGATTGAGCAGTTATACTTTTTCCTAGTGTTGGTAAATTATCAAAGACCTCAGCTGAAGATTCATCAAGTAAAAATCCACAAAATTGGCAAGAATGTCCTGCATCAGGAGTTGACTCATTAATGTTATATGACAACAAAAGTGAAGTTTTAGAAATATTGAACTTTTCAATTATTTGCTGGACACTTAAAAAATATGTGCCACCAGATCCTTGTCTTAACTTGCTGAATTCTTTTTCAAGTGGGTCTGTTGTAAATTTTCCCAACATAACATATTTGTGTTTTTCTTTTAATAGTGTTTTTGTCAACTCAACAATTCCTTTACATGTATGATTTATGGAATATCCTGTATCATGTGTTAATTGTTTTATACGCTTTCCTTGATTACTTGTCATACGTAATGCCATTTCTCTGAAATCCCAAATAAATTTTAATCTATCATCATTTGGATCTCTGATGACAGCTTTTCGATCATCATTAAACCTACAATCTACACCCACACTTTTTACATTTAAAATTTTCCACCATGTAACAACCATTTTAATAAAATCAGCAGTCTCATTTATGTTTAAGATGTTGGAGGTTTCAGGATGATTAAGTAAAGCGCTGTATGTTTTTTCAGAAAACACTTTTAGACAGGTAGAAACAGATTGTCTTTCAATATGACTGGGTCGAACAGAAACTTCATTCAAATCAAAAAGTTTTATTAGATAATTAGAATTAGCTTCAAAAAGTTTTATCAAATGACTCCAACAAGCTGTTTTCTCAACACCATTTTCATAAAAAATTAATTCTCCTTTTTTTTCTGTGAGCCAATTGTTTCGGATGTTTTTGATTAAGTGGACAAAGTCAAACAACAAATAGGTTCCATTGGTGGTTAGCCAAGGTTTTTCAGGAAATGTGTCAAATTTTTAAAAAAATGCTTGATTAGTTCGATTTCCATCACAAACAAGGATTGTCTTTGCGTTGCTATTAGACTCTTTAACTGCTTCAACAGTCAAATGAATTTGATCATATAAAAATTGAGAATTTAATTTGTTTACAGGTAACATTTTCACAAGAAATTTAGGTCCACCAAACATACAAGCAATATGAAACTGCAAAAATAATTACGATTAAAGGTGTTCGTACTTCAGTAAGTACTGAAGAGACACTTGTACCTTCACAACTTTATTTTCAGCATTTTGGTGCCCTAAAGGATGGACTTACATCACAATTTTTATGCATTTGAGATATTTTTCTAACTCTTAAAGTACCCTTTAAATAATTTTTATTTAAAATATTTAAATAAAATTTATTATTATAGATTTTTTACACTGCCCTAACGTCTACACTACACAACTATTTAAAACTTTAAAACAAATTATATTTTGTCAAAAAATGCAATTGCATATCGAAAAATAAAAATTTTAATAAGTTCACAAGGAATTTACTTACGAATCCTAAAAAAATAACAATTCTTCTCCAATTGAAATAATTTACTTAACTATAAATTGTTTAAAAATCCATAAATGAACATATCATTAAAACAACATACCTTTGAACTGAGTTTCTGGTGTTTGTCACCATGTCCTCTGCACCATGTCTTTTATCGATTTGTGTTGTTTTCCATTGCTGTTAGTTTATGAATGAAAAGGTAAACATCACTTTGTGATTTTTAACCATTGAATTCATTATTAACAGAACGAAGTACCTGAAAAAATTTTGAAAAACTTGATTTTCAACAAACTTTACAGTATCAACTTGATTTTCAAGAAACTTAACAGTATCAACATGACTTTCAACAAACTTAACAGTATCAACATGACTTTCAACAAACTCTACGCTATCAACATGACTTTCAATAAATTCTACGCTACCAACATGACTTTTAACAAATTTTACGCTATCAACATGACTTTTAACAAATTCTACGCTATCAACATGACTTTCAACAAATTCTACGCTATCAAGATGACTTTCAACTAATTCAGAATTAGTTGAAAGTCATCTTGATAGCGTAGAATTTGTTGAAAGTCATGTTGATAGCGTAGGATTAGTAATTCTACGCTATCAACATGACTTTCAACAAATTCTACGCTATCAAAATGACTTTCAATAAATTCTACGCTATCAACATAACTTTCAACAAATTCTACGCTGTCAAGATGACTTTTAATAAATTCTACGCTATCAACATAACTTTCAACATATTCTATACTATCAACATGACTTTCAACAAATTCTCCGTTATCAAGATTTCTTTCAACAAATTTCACGCTATCAATATGGGGGGGGAGGGGTTAAATAAGCTTGCGTTGGGTAGGAAAATGTTCTAATGTTAATTGCTCTAAATGTTATTAAATATTTTCTAATCTATTTAAATTTTAGATTATTTGCAAAACATTTAGTTAAATGTTTTTTTTCATAAAGATATTCGTAAATATTACCAGTAAATAATAATGAAACTTCAAATTCAATAGGAAGTATGGGTTTTCTACCAAACATTAACTCAAAGGGAGTGTATTTTATAGACTCCTGCCTTGACGTATTGTATGCAAAAGTACATGCATCCAAATGAGTATTGTGATAGATTATTACCTCCGCCTGAATTATCACCTCCCCCTATTGAAAACTCAAAACGAGGTTGCGCTTTCTGGTTATAGCTGTTAGATGTGTTCCTAAAACGTCCGGATTACCATAACATAACATAATTAACATAAACATAAACAACGAAAATGACGCTTCGAGGACAAGAATTCAAGAAATAAAGTTTACTTGGTCTTTTGTGATGTTCCAATTCCATTTTTTTGAAAGGTAATATAAGGAAGGTTATATAAAAAAGATTGATAGTAATAGATATTATACAAATGTAATGTAACTAGTTTACTTATTATACTTATAATTATTATACTTGCATAAAAATATTAAATTATTACCTCCCCCTTAGACTCAGGCTTGCTAAGACTTAGTAAATAACTTGATATGAGACGATATGATATTGGTATTGTTTGATAATGATAGAAATTGTGCATCTGTAAATTAATTAGTCACTTTTTTACTTGAAAATGTTCAAAACCTTTATATTAGGGTGGTCCATAAAACAACTTTTTTGAGAAAAACCTGCTGACACCCCCTAAATGTGTTTTATCTAATGCAAAAACACTAGGTTTAAAATTTTTTTGAACAAAAATTATTTTTAGGGGTAGCTCAAGGCCCTCAAAAATTTGACGGGTCCCTAATATTTTGAAAAAAAAACTTTTTCTAAAGTATGTCAACCTGGTACTCAAAATAAGCAAAATTATATAAAAAATTTAAAAATGATAATAATTTTTTATAAAAATAATTTTTTTAGGTATAAATGCATAAAAACTATTGTTTTTAAGCTGAAAATAAAAAAAGTCAATATTTTCAGGTTTTTTGAGAATAATTTTTTTTAGGCATGTTTTTTATGTAAAATGATTATTATTTTTGAAGTTTTTATACAATATCGCTTCTTTTGAGTACCAGGTTGACATACTTTAGAAAAAGTTTTTTTTTCAAAATATTAGGGACCCGTCAAATTTTTGAGGGCCTTGAGCTACCCCTAAAAATAATTTTTGTTCAAAAAAATTTTAAACCTAGTGTTTTTGCATTAGATAAAACACATTTAGGGGGTGTCAGCAGGTTTTTCTCAAAAAAGTTGTTTTATGGACCACCCTACTTTATATCTGTCTGAATTATCACCTCCCCCTTTGGAAATCACAAAACCTTCACCTGAATTATTGCCTCCCCCTTGTAAATCAGCCAATATAAGACGGTGTGATTATGTTATTTAGTGAGAAAGATAGAAATTTTACAACGGTCAATAATTAGTCATATATTTACATGAAAATACTCTACAAATATTTTTATACCTGTCTGAATTATCACCTCCCCCCTTAGTCAATCACTCAATATGAGATAGTGCAATAATGGTATTGTTTTATAATGATAGAAATTGTTTATTTGTAAATTAATTAGTCACTTTTTTACTTGAAAATGCTCAAAAAATTTCTTTGTATTTGTCTGAATTATCACCTTCCCCTTAGAAAATCTCTAAACCTGCGCCTGAATTATTAACTCCCCCATGTAAATCAGTCAGTATAAGATGGTGTGATTATGTTATTTAGTGAGAAAGATAGAAATTTTACAACGGTCAATAATTAGTCATATATTTACATGAAAATACTCTACAAATATTTTTATACCTGTCTGAATTATCACCTCCCCCCTTAGTCAATCACTCAATATGAGATAGTGCAATAATGGTATTGTTTTATAATGATAGAAATTGTTTATTTGTAAATTAATTAGTCACTTTTTTACTTGAAAATGCTCAAAAAATTTCTTTGTATTTGTCTGAATTATCACCTTCCCCTTAGAAAATCTCTAAACCTGCGCCTGAATTATTAACTCCCCCATGTAAATCAGTCAGTATAAGATGGTGTGATTATGTTATTTAGTGAGAAAGATAGAAATTTTACATCTGTAAAGTAATTAGTTATTTATTTACTTAAAAATGCTGTAAAAGGTTTTTTATATCTGTCTGAATTATCACCTCCCCCCTTAGTCAATCACTTTATATGAGATGGTGCAATAATAGTATTGTTTTATAATGATAGAAATTGTTTATTTGTAAATTAATTAGTCACTTTTTTACTTGAAAATGCTCAAAAAATTTCTTTGTATTTGTCTGAATTATCACCTCCCCCTTAGAAAATCTCTAAACCTGCGCCTGAATTATTAACTCCCCCATGTAAATCAGTCAGTATAAGATGGTGTGATTATGTTATTTAGTTAGGAAGATAGAAATTTTACATCTGTAAAGTAATTAGTTATTTATTTACTTAAAAATGCTGTAAAAGGTTTTTTATATCTGTCTGAATTATCACCTCCCCCTTAGTTAATCACTTTATATGAGATTGTGCAATAATAGTATTGTTTTATAATGATAGAAATTGTTTATTTGTAAATTAATTAGTCACTTTTTTACTTAAAAATGCTCAAAAAATTTCTTTGTATTTGTCTGAATTATCACCTCCTCTTTAGAAAATCACTAAACCTGCGCCTGAATTATCAACTCCCCCATGTAAATCAGTCACTATAAGATGGTTTATTTTGTGACATTGTATTTAAAAATTTATTTTTTGTTCGTTTTTAGTGACTCATCATGTTATAGTGTGATGTTTTCTGAATGACTTTATGTGATAGTGTGAACGTTTTCTGACTGGCAGAAGGTAAGTTTTTCAGTTAGCAATTTACACTTTAAGTTAAAGCTCAACTTTATCATATTGTTTATTCACTATTGGAAAACCACCTTTATAATCATTTGAAGTTACGGAATACTTATATATAGGTTTATTAGTTTTAAGTATTTTATTTATTATAAAGTTTATTAATTGTTTCAGGATATTCAGTTTTCTTTTTGCCCCACCTTGTCAGTCTGGTGGTAAAAAGGTAAGTTTAGTGTTATATCTTTAGAAGCTAATATTATTTTGGTCCTAATGGTAATGCACGCAAGTATGAATTAATTGTGTTAATGAATTTTTTTTCTTTGTTTATTTATTATTCAACTTTTTTGCATAGAAGGTTTTAATTTTAACTTTGATTTCATTTCTTTGTGAATTTGTTTTATAGAAGAGATAGAACCACATTTATGTGTAAACACTGACAGAGGAAAAAAAGGACTAGTTTATTATGAATACTGTAGTAGATTATTCCCACCGCCTGAATTATTCCATCCCTCTATGAAAAACTCAAAACGAGATTGCGCTTTCGGGTTATAACTGTTAGAAGTGTACCTAAAACGTCCGTACTACTTTTGTAAACATAAACAAAGAGAAAAAAACGTTTAGATGACAAGAATTTTAGAAATAAAGTTTACATAAAAGTAATATAAGAAAGACGATATAAGAAAGTGTCGTAATGATAGAAAATAAACAACTATATACAAATTAGTTATTTATTTGCATGAAACTGTTTTACAAATACTTTTATTATATAACAGTATATGTAAAAGTAAAATTCAGATAGATATAAATTATATCTCTCTGAATTAATACCTCTCCTTTATAAATCGCTCAATGTAAGACAGTCTGATCTTTATTACAGTATAATGATTAAAATTCTACAACAATGAAATAATTAATAATTAGTTGATAGTTGTATAATTTCTGTTTAAACTGAATAAATTAGTTATATAATAATGTAAAATTAATTTACAAATATCTGTCTGAATTATACCCTCCCCCTGAGTAAATTACTAAACTTGCCTCTGAATTATTTCCTTTTTCCTAGCTAATCATTTAATAAAAGATGGTGTGGTAATGGTTTTGAGTGATGCAATAAATAGTGAACAACTATAAACTTTTAGTTATATATTTAATTAAAAATACTTTAAAAAAATACAACTTAAAGTTTCAAAATTATTACCTCCCCTTAGTTAATCGTTTAAAGTAAGACGGTGTGATAATGGCATGAAGTGATAGTAATCAGAATTATGCAACTATATGTCAATAAGTTATAAAATTATGTAAAAATGATTTACAAGTATAATGTCTGAATCATCACATCCCCCTAAGTAAATCATGCAATACAAAATGTTTGAATCTGATATAATTATTTTTTATATTTTACTGTAATTGGAAATTTTTAAAGCTTTTGATATTTGACTTGTACGACTTTTGTTTTCCTATAGGAACATAGAATAAAAGTGTTATTCTTACTTTAATTAGTAAAGTTGTTAGTCCAACATATCAATATTATTTTAGCCTCATTTAAAGATATTGTGATGTTATATTGGTATTTGATTTTTTTCCAAACTAACACATATTAATTTTTTGGTATGTATATATGTTTTTAAGTTCTATGTTTGCTATTTCATATGTTCTACAAAAAGTAGTATTGATTTTTTTATATTTTTATTTAAAAATTATTTGTTTTATGCAAATTGAAAAGTATTTCTTTATTTAATAATTTTTTTTTTTGTCTATTTGTTTTAGTTCGACGACAAGGTTCTGCTCTACTTCATTTTTTATGTTTAATTTGACTACTGTTGAAATATGGTTTTAATTTAGTAAATTTTCATGAATTGAAATTTACTTTATTAATCATTAGCCAACAGTTTAGGTAATAAAATTGAATTCATCGCCATTAAGGTAAGAATAACTTTGTTCTTTGGTCACACCATTAAACAGTTTTTTTATTATATTCTTTTATTGGTATTTTTTTACTAAAACAGTTTTTTATATTTATTATTATGTCATTGCTATTTTGTGTAACTAAACCTCAATTTTATTCGTAACTAAAACTCAATTTTATTCCGCCAATCGTTATTGTAATAATTTAGATCTTCCTATATTTATGAATGGTAATGTACTAGATGAGTCATCTACCATTCATCTTCTAGGATTAACTCTTACTTCTGATCTTTCTTTTAAACCGTATATCAAATCCATTGCAAAATTAGCATCTGCTTAGGTTGCATCTCTTTATCGAGCTCGACACTTTCTTACTCCAGATTCTATTCTCTATCCCTATAAATCTCAAATTCGTTTCTGTATGGAATACTGTTGCCACATCTGGGGCGGATCTTCTAATGATGCTCTTTCTCTTTTAGACAAGGTGCAAAAACGCATTGTAAACATAGTTGGACCTGCTCTGGCAGCCAATCTCCAACCTTTGTCACATCGTGGTGATGTTGCTTCTCTTTCTCTTTTCTACAAATACTATAATGGGCACTGCTCTAAAGAGCTAGCGTCCCTTGTGCCATCTACTAAAATTCATTCTCGTGTTACTCGCCATTCAATTAAGTTTCATCCTTTTTCTGTGACTGTTCCTAAGTGCTTCAAAAACTCTTATTCTTCTAGTTTTTTTCCTCGACCATCAGTTCTTTGGAATTCGCTTCCTTCATCTTGCTTTCCTGATTCATATAATTTGCAATCTTTTAAGTCATCAGTCAATCGTTATCTTGCTCTACAGATTTAGTCTTTTCTCTTCCAGTAACTTCCAACTCTTATAGTGGTTGCTTGCAGCCTTGTTGGAAGTGAAGATGTTAAAAAAACCTAAAAACAATTCAGCTAACATAACCTTGAAAATTTAATAGTTTTTTTTTTTTGTTACATTTTTGTTTCAGATAACCTTGTTGAAAATTTTAAGAAAAGCTTAAACAAAAAATTATTCGTAGAAATTTTAAAATTGAAGATTTATACTTGCTTATATAATAAAAAGATGAAATTAAATAAGTTTGACACTTTTTCTTGAATTAAAAAAATAAACTTTAATCTGAAAAAAGATTTATTTTTTTTATTGAAAGTGGTTGGCGTCTACTGCAAAAAGTAATTAAAAAATTTTTTTTTTATTGGAATTACAAGATTTAGCATAAGATAAAAACCATACTCTGCTATAGATTTATTGTTTTTCTAAAGTCAGTGCTTGATTTGCTTTAACTTTTTGCCTAATTTTGATTTAATAATTAATTAAAATCTCCAAAATGTCCTTATATGGAATATTGTTGCCATATCTGGGGAAAGGAGGGGTGGATCTTAAAATGATACTCTTTCCCTTCAGACAAGGTACAAAAATACATAGTTGGACCTGGTCTTGCAAACCTCTAACCATTATTACATGTAATGTTGCTTCTTTTTCTCAATTCTACAAATACTCATGCTACTCCTTATTTGATTAAGTCTTATCCTTTTTCTGTGACTGTTCCTAAGTGCTCCAAAAGTTCTTATTCATCTAGCTTTTTTCTTTGAACATCAGTTCTTTGGAATTCACCTGCTTCAGTTTCTATTTTGATTCATATAATTTCTAATCTTTAAAGTCATATGTCAATTGTTATCTTGCTTTATAAACTTCATTTTATTCCAGTAACTTCCAACTCTATTAGTGGTTGATTGCAGCCTTGTTGGAAGCAAAGATATTGAAAGAAAAGTGTCCTTTCTATTTAACTGAACTGTTTTTGGCAACAGATGTTATTAAACAGATAACCAGCAATTACCTAATTTAAAACCTGCTTAAAAATAAGTACATTACATAAAATGAGCTTTTTTTGTGTGTTTTTTACCTTTCCAAGGCTTTAAAGGCTGCTACAGTTAAGGAGGCAACTTTTATTGTGGTTAAAACCCTCTCTTAATAACTTCTAAACACAAACCTTGACAAACAAGCCCTCTGCGCCAAGAAACGAATTTAATGTAGTTCTACTTTGGACTTATGTAGCTTTACCACTACACCACTACGGAAACTTAATAAACTAATAATAGGTAATAATAATTAATAAAAATTTAAATTTAAAAATACTAATAATAATTTATAGATGTTAGTATAAGTATAGTACCCCTTTTACTTTAAGTATAATATAAACTTATGCTGCCATGAAAAATATAATGTAAATATAAAATATGAAAAATATAAAAATATAATTTACACAAAATAGCAATGACATGATAATAATAAAATACAAAAAACTGTTTAATGGTGTGACCAAAGAACAAAGTTATTCTTACCTTAATGGCGATGAATTCAATTTTATTACCTAAACTGTTGGCTAATGATTAATAAAGTAAATTTCAATTCATGAAAATTTACTAAATTAAAACCATATTTCAACAGTAGTCAAATTAAACATAAAAAATGAAGTAGAGCAGAACCTTGTCGTCGAACTAAAACAAATAGACAAAAAAAAAAATTATTAAATAAAGAAATACTTTTCAATTTGCATAAAACAAATAATTTTTAAATAAAAATATAAAAAAATCAATACTACTTTTTGTAGAACATATGAAATAGCAAACATAGAACTTAAAAACATATATACATACCAAAAAATTAATATGTGTTAGTTTGGAAAAAAATCAAATACCAATATAACATCACAATATCTTTAAATGAGGCTAAAATAATATTGATATGTTGGACTAACAACTTTACTAATTAAAGTAAGAATAACACTTTTATTCTATGTTCCTATAGGAAAACAAAAGTCGTACAAGTCAAATATCAAAAGCTTTAAAAATTTCCAATTACAGTAAAATATAAAAAATAATTATATCAGATTCAAACATTTTGTATTGCATGATTTACTTAGGGGGATGTGATGATTCAGACATTATACTTGTAAATCATTTTTACATAATTTTATAACTTATTGACATATAGTTGCATAATTCTGATTACTATCACTTCATGCCATTATCACACCGTCTTACTTTAAACGATTAACTAAGGGGAGGTAATAATTTTGAAACTTTAAGTTGTATTTTTTTAAAGTATTTTTAATTAAATATATAACTAAAAGTTTATAGTTGTTCACTATTTATTGCATCACTCAAAACCATTACCACACCATCTTTTATTAAATGATTAGCTAGGAAAAAGGAAATAATTCAGAGGCAAGTTTAGTAATTTACTCAGGGGGAGGGTATAATTCAGACAGATATTTGTAAATTAATTTTACATTATTATATAACTAATTTATTCAGTTTAAACAGAAATTATACAACTATCAACTAATTATTAATTATTTCATTGTTGTAGAATTTTAATCATTATACTGTAATAAAGATCAGACTGTCTTACATTGAGCGATTTATAAAGGAGAGGTATTAATTCAGAGAGATATAATTTATATCTATCTGAATTTTACTTTTACATATACTGTTATATAATAAAAGTATTTGTAAAACAGTTTCATGCAAATAAATAACTAATTTGTATATAGTTGTTTATTTTCTATCATTACGACACTTTCTTATATCGTCTTTCTTATATTACTTTTATGTAAACTTTATTTCTAAAATTCTTGTCATCTAAACGTTTTTTTCTCTTTGTTTATGTTTACAAAAGTAGTACGGACGTTTTAGGTACACTTCTAACAGTTATAACCCGAAAGCGCAATCTCGTTTTGAGTTTTTCATAGAGGGATGGAATAATTCAGGCGGTGGGAATAATCTACTACAGTATTCATAATAAACTAGTCCTTTTTTTCCTCTGTCAGTGTTTACACATAAATGTGGTTCTATCTCTTCTATAAAACAAATTCACAAAGAAATGAAATCAAAGTTAAAATTAAAACCTTCTATGCAAAAAAGTTGAATAATAAATAAACAAAGAAAAAAAATTCATTAACACAATTAATTCATACTTGCGTGCATTACCATTAGGACCAAAATAATATTAGCTTCTAAAGATATAACACTAAACTTACCTTTTTACCACCAGACTGACAAGGTGGGGCAAAAAGAAAACTGAATATCCTGAAACAATTAATAAACTTTATAATAAATAAAATACTTAAAACTAATAAACCTATATATAAGTATTCCGTAACTTCAAATGATTATAAAGGTGGTTTTCCAATAGTGAATAAACAATATGATAAAGTTGAGCTTTAACTTAAAGTGTAAATTGCTAACTGAAAAACTTACCTTCTGCCAGTCAGAAAACGTTCACACTATCACATAAAGTCATTCAGAAAACATCACACTATAACATGATGAGTCACTAAAAACGAACAAAAAATAAATTTTTAAATACAATGTCACAAAATAAACCATCTTATAGTGACTGATTTACATGGGGGAGTTGATAATTCAGGCGCAGGTTTAGTGATTTTCTAAAGAGGAGGTGATAATTCAGACAAATACAAAGAAATTTTTTGAGCATTTTTAAGTAAAAAAGTGACTAATTAATTTACAAATAAACAATTTCTATCATTATAAAACAATACTATTATTGCACAATCTCATATAAAGTGATTAACTAAGGGGGAGGTGATAATTCAGACAGATATAAAAAACCTTTTACAGCATTTTTAAGTAAATAAATAACTAATTACTTTACAGATGTAAAATTTCTATCTTCCTAACTAAATAACATAATCACACCATCTTATACTGACTGATTTACATGGGGGAGTTAATAATTCAGGCGCAGGTTTAGAGATTTTCTAAGGGGGAGGTGATAATTCAGACAAATACAAAGAAATTTTTTGAGCATTTTCAAGTAAAAAAGTGACTAATTAATTTACAAATAAACAATTTCTATCATTATAAAACAATACTATTATTGCACCATCTCATATAAAGTGATTGACTAAGGGGGGAGGTGATAATTCAGACAGATATAAAAAACCTTTTACAGCATTTTTAAGTAAATAAATAACTAATTACTTTACAGATGTAAAATTTCTATCTTTCTCACTAAATAACATAATCACACCATCTTATACTGACTGATTTACATGGGGGAGTTAATAATTCAGGCGCAGGTTTAGAGATTTTCTAAGGGGAAGGTGATAATTCAGACAAATACAAAGAAATTTTTTGAGCATTTTCAAGTAAAAAAGTGACTAATTAATTTACAAATAAACAATTTCTATCATTATAAAACAATACCATTATTGCACTATCTCATATTGAGTGATTGACTAAGGGGGGAGGTGATAATTCAGACAGGTATAAAAATATTTGTAGAGTATTTTCATGTAAATATATGACTAATTATTGACCGTTGTAAAATTTCTATCTTTCTCACTAAATAACATAATCACACCGTCTTATATTGGCTGATTTACAAGGGGGAGGCAATAATTCAGGTGAAGGTTTTGTGATTTCCAAAGGGGGAGGTGATAATTCAGACAGATATAAAGGTTTTGAACATTTTCAAGTAAAAAAGTGACTAATTAATTTACAGATGCACAATTTCTATCATTATCAAACAATACCAATATCATATCGTCTCATATCAAGTTATTTACTAAGTCTTAGCAAGCCTGAGTCTAAGGGGGAGGTAATAATTTAATATTTTTATGCAAGTATAATAATTATAAGTATAATAAGTAAACTAGTTACATTACATTTGTATAATATCTATTACTATCAATCTTTTTTATATAACCTTCCTTATATTACCTTTCAAAAAAATGGAATTGGAACATCACAAAAGACCAAGTAAACTTTATTTCTCGAATTCTTGTCCTCGAAGCGTCATTTTCGTTGTTTATGTTTATGTTAATTATGTTATGTTATGGTAATCCGGATGTTTTAGGAACACATCTAACAGCTATAACCAGAAAGCGCAACCTCGTTTTGAGTTTTCAATAGGGGGAGGTGATAATTCAGGCGGAGGTAATAATCTATCACAGTATCCCATGTACTGTGCCGGTCATTGCAAAACTTTACAAGCATTAACTGAATGGTTTGATTGAACCGCTCATCTAAGCCATTAGCCTAAAATAAAAAATGATTAAATCAAATATTTTTAACCAGACAGCAAATTATATGCAAATTCAATTCAGATTTGAAAACCTGTGTATGATAAGCTGTGGTAAACTGATGCTTCACATTGAGCAGTGACATAAGTTCCCTGTTTATTTGGTTGTAAAATTCTGTGCCCTGGTCAGAGGTAACAACTTTTGGTATACCCATCTGCATGAACAACTGAAATGTTAAACATTTTTATATCATTGCAAACATAACAAATAAATTCACTGCAATCCAATAATATTATACATAAAGATAACATTTAAAGTTACCTTATATAATGCTATTGCAACACCACTGGCTAATTTTGATTTAAGGGGAAATGCAGCTACCCACTTTGTGCAATAATCAGAGATAGTGAGGATATGTTTATTTCCTGCTGATGTTTCAGGAAGTGGTCCTATTAAATCGATTCCAATATGAAACCATGGTGACTGAACTTTAATAGGATGCAGCTCTGGGCGAGTTTTTTCAAATCTAACATTTCAGAGCTATCACTACTAAAAATGATTTTAAAAAAAGAGAAAGAAAAACATTACTAAGTAAAGTCTTTTTTTTCAAAAATGATTTATGATATATTGTACATACATTTTTATAGAACTGCATTTATATAGAATATACTAACATATATATATATATATATATATATATATATATATATATATATATATATATATATATATATATATATATATATATATATATATATATATATATATAAAACAAAAACGACTAAAATTGGAAATTGTCCAATCAAATTACGAAGTATTCGAACATTTTGACTGGTAGGATTTCGAAATCTTAAAAACATAGTTACAAGAATATATTTATTCTTGTGAGTATGATATGAAGATGAATAACTAAAACTTATTGTTAAATATAAAATTCAGGCAAGGACAGGAGCATTTGCATGCAAGCCTGATTTGCATTTCAAAAATGCAATAAAATTAAATGTAATCCTGACGAAAAAGTGAACGTTTTAAAAAATCATTTATGTTATGTAAAATAAATATTTACTTTTAATTGGCTCAATGAATGGAATCTGTAACTTTAAAGAGAAAAAGCGTGAAAATTAATGTTGCTTTAAATTATTCGAGTTAAATTTTAAACGCAAAGTAGTTTTTTACATTGCTTACTGATTTCTGCTAGCATTAAAATACAACATAAAAATGGTAACTAAATTAAATTTAAAAGAAGTTTTTGAAGCTAAAATATTTTTAAAAATTATAAAAAAATCATAATAAATAATAAAATATTTATTTCAATTCATAATGAAAAATTAATTTATTGTAAACAGGCTTGTGGAGTTATTAGTTTTTTTATGGGCTCGCCCTCGCCTCCTAAAAAATATACAGCTCCAGCTTGGCGCCGGGTATCGAATTTAATGTGCAATAATTGCAACTATGATTTTTTTTTAATATTAATTTTGCTTAAATAAACATTAAAGTTTGCATATTAAAAAAAAAAAAATCAGTATCCTGGAGCCGCTAGATTTTTGCGGCTGTGGCTTTGTCTTAGCTCGGCTCCACAAGCCTGATTGTAACGTTTTAAAGGCTTTAATAAAAGCCAGAATATGCAATTTAAAAAAAATTTGCTCTTTCATGCTCATCATAAAAATTTGCTTATTCATTGCTCATCATAAAAAATTTTATCGGACATTGTCCGACTAAATTAAATTTTTGTCTGACATTATGTCCGGTACCTAATAAAAAATTAAATTAAACCCTGATATATATATATATATATATATATATATATATATATATATATATATATATATATATATATATATATATATATATATATATATATATATATATATATATATATATATATATATATATATATATATATATATATATATATATATATATATATATATATTAGGGTGCATCACAAAACAACAATTTAAATTTATTTTGATTTTGTCTGACACTTTATTGTGTTTTATATATTAAAAAAAAGCTGGATTTCAAATATTTTGGTAGAAAAAATATTTTTAGAGGTCCACACACACTTAAATATTCAACAGGTCCCTAAAATATTCAAAAAGGTAGTTTTTTAAAAGTTGGTAATGTTTAGTCTTAAATGAAGCGAAATTTATTAACAAAATTTTAAATTAATCATTATTTTATAAAAAAAACATTACTTTAGATTTTTCTGCAACAAAAATAACAATAAACAATAACAATAACAATAACAATAAAAATAACAAATATTATATAACCTATAAATCGTAACCTGTATATGTATATACATTATATATATGCATATATAATGTATATACATATGTATATATATGTACATATATAGGTTACGATTTACATATATATATGTATATACATTATATATACGCAATACAGTAATGTCACATTACTGTATTGCGAGTCTATTTCAACTCACCATTTTACTCACATTAAATGCGAGTAAAATTATTTTACTCACATTTAATGTGAGTAAAATAGTGACTCACTAGTAACTCTAGACTAACTAGACTAGTTGAGCTACTAGTAAATCACTATTTTAAAAATAGTGAGTTACTAGTTACATAGTAACATAGTTAGAAATTATAACTATGTACTAGTAATACTACAAACATAGCATCTTAACTTTTACAATCTTTACCTTTTTGCTTTTCGTCTAATTGTCCGCTTATCATTTAGGGTGCAGTCATGACGATAAACAGATTTAGATAAATAGTTACTAACATCAGCAAGCATCATTTCTTCATAATTACTTTTCTGTTCATCCATTTTTAAAATGATTTTTGATATTTTATAATAATAATTTATTTTAAATCGAACAATATTAATTATAGCTAAATATATAACAAATATAAAATCTTATAATCACGGCTGATTTTGTACCAATTATTGGTACAAAAATGATTTTGTACCAATTGATTTTGTACCAATTATTGGTACAAAATCAGCCGCGATTCTTTAACTAATTATTTGCTAAGTAGGACAATTTACTCCAATGTAGGACATTCTACTCCGGAGTAAACAGTCCGGCCGGACAGTTTACTCCGGCGGACTGTTTTCTCCGTGACAGCACTTAGCGCGATCTAAGTTTGTAATTGTAAATAGCAAGACGTATCTTCAAGAAATATATATTAAAGTAATCTTATCTATGTGAATTAATGCTAGAGTCCCTTCCAAACTCTTTAAGTTGTAACGTTTATTTTTATTTTTCAATGTAATTTATCGTGATAATTATAGAAGTAATTTATATATCATCATTTATATTGTTTTCATTTATTTAGTATTATGACATCGGATTTTTTCACTGCGTGTAAAAGAAAACTCAAATCTGTTAGTCTGACCAGCGCAAGCAGCGATGAAAATCAAAGCAAATATGAAAAAACGAAAAGAATTCGAACAATACAACCGTCATGGTTAAAAGAATATCCTTGGCTTAGGCACAACAAAATTTCCGAGTTGTATACAGAAGAGGGAACAAAGAATATTGAAAGGTTCTAACAGAATTAAACAAGGAACGCAAAAAAAAAGAGAAGATCAGGCGTGCGATGATTTCGAGGATGTCATGATTTGCCTAAATTGCCGTGAGAAGTATTATCACTCCAACCAATTAAAGGAAAACTACACTCCATCAAAAAGCGAGATCAAACAACTTCCATTTATATTTGGTGCTACATCGTACGGAATCGAGAGTGTCGCTAAACATTGCAAACCCACGAATACACAGCATGTCCTCGCAATGGATCGACAAAAAAACGTAGAAAAAGAAAAAAATAATAAGTTGAGTGAAGCTCATCAAGTCAAAACAACTTTGTCGGAAGCTCAAAAAATACATTTGCAACATTTGTTTTGAAACATGTATGGTGTATTAAAGGAGGGTAAGCCATTTTCGGATTACGAGTTTATAGTAAGATTGGATAAAACCAAAGGTGTGAATATTGGTACAACATATTGCAATAGACAAGGTGGTGTAGATTTTGGAATGGCAATATCAGAGGTTTTTTTAAATGAATTTAGAATGGAATTCTCCAGCGCTAAATTTTTTAGCATTATTGTAGATGAGTCTACTGATGCCTATAGATTAGAGCAAATGGTTATTTACCTGCGCTATTCAATTAATGGAAATATCAAAACTTTTTTTGGCAATAGACAATGTTACTCGACCTAACGCATTGCAACTGACAGCCCTAATATTAAAACTTTTGAAAACCGAAATGCGTTGGGATCCTCCAGAGAAGCCTCTGGGAATAGCTAACAATGTTGAAGATCTAGAAGACGAATCTGACGGCGAGGAATTAGTACATATAGAAGATGAAATATCTCAACTATTTAGCGATAGTGACAACAATTACGATGAATGCAATTTTGAAAGTTTCCTAAGTGAAGAAGAGCCAGACGACTACAATAATGAACTAATAGTTCATGCAGAAAATATAGCGCCTCTAATGGTAGGTTTAACTACGGATGGCGCTAACGTTTTAACTGGACGGAGACATAGTGTTCAGCAACAGCTAAAAAGTAGGTGCAACAATTTTCTCACTTACACACATTGTTTGTCGCACCGATTGCAGCTGGCACTGAAAGATGCAGCCAGCACTTCAAAGGAACTCCAAATTCTGCAGCTATTTTGTAAGGAACTGTTCGTTTTTCATCGAAATTCTACTGTTATACCAGCGGTTTATTGTAACGCATGCAAAGTTTATGGTGTAAAAGGTATTTTAAGAATTAAGTCTTGTTATATTGATAATATCTTAACGTATTTTTACTTATTAATTTTAAGTAGTATTAAAAATTAAAATTTATATTAATTAATTTAGGCCATTTTATATTTATTTAATGTAGTGTTTTAATTTTTAAGCCAAATGCAGTGTCATACGAGTTAATGGTACCAGATGGGTTGCGCATATGGTAAATGCGTTGGAGAATCTTCTCGATGGTCTAAAAGCGCATATTCATAGTTATATTACTATCAGCTTGGAAAGCGACTACAGCGCAGCACAGAAATCAAAGGCTAAGTTCTTTGCAAAGAAATTGGTTGATCAGCACTTCTTGTCGACGGCGATTTATATTCTTGATGTGTGTAGAGCAATGACAATTTTTTTAGAGGTATTAGTAAGGTTTTTTCAGAGTATTAATTCACCACAAACAAAAGTTATAAGCTTTATAAATAAACAACAAAAAAAGTATATATATATATATATATATATATATATATATATATATATATATATATATATATATATATATATATATATATATATATATATATATATATATATATATATATATATATATATATATATATATATATATATATATATATATATATATATATATATATATATATATATATATATATATATATATATATATATATATATATATGATTAGGTAATATGTGAGTTTATTGTAATATTTACTAATATTATTGTTATTAAACCTTTTAGAAATATAAACTTTGCGATAATTAACATATAATAATCAAAGTAAAATGTTTACAAAAGATAAAAAC